ATTTGCAAAATCTGGTGTAGAACTTCACCCAGCAAGTTCAGTTGTAGTTCAATGGGCACAGTCAGGTCTAAGGATGCTAAACATATGGTCTCTCAGCTGTAGATCCCAAAGGTTGTGAAGAAGATGACATGCCTCATCTGCCTCCAGTCTTGAAGAATTTGATTGCTTTCTAAGTAGCAGAATGTACCCAAAGAACTTCTGCCATTAAAAAAAAAATCTTTATCTTAATTTTTTTAATATAGCAAGCGAAGTAAAGTCTAGGTATTATATGGGTCCTTGCAGTCTTAAAGTTGTTTAAATTATTTTCTCTGCTTTATCACAACACTAGGTTTACCTCATCTGTTGGTCTCCCAGACTTATGGTATCTCACTGACTTACCTAACCTCCAAAGGGCAGAAGTGTCCTGAAACCCCGACCTACACATAACAACAGGAAGCCCTCATTTTGAATTGAGCATTTTCATTTGTTAGCTTAAGGCCTACACAGCAAAGACAGCTTTTCCAGACACCCCACAGGAAAACCAGCTCATTCCTGTTGGTCTGTAAATCCCTGTATTAGCACAGGTTACAAACAGAGGATGAATGACCAGACCAGGTAGCAAAGGGATGTGCTTCCCATCTCTGGCTGCCATCCAGGTATCCTTCCATGACATCTGGATAAACCCAGCAAGGATTAAGTATTCTCAGCAGGGCCAGGAAACTGGTCTGGTCTCTGTAGCTGGCCTCCCTCTTCAGCACTACTTTGACTTAAAATTATTTCAGGCTTTGTTAACCAGGTGTGGTCAATTTGACTTCCTCAGCAACAAGTTTAAAAAACGATTAATGGAAGAAGCAGAGTGTAAAAGTGTTTTGAAAGGGTTGGAAAAGCCAAAAGAAGCAGCTGGCACGTCCCTGGTGGGGCATCTCCCTCCAAACAAAGGCACACAGAGACCTCTTGTTAGCACACCGGGGACAGCAGTGTGGCTTGCTCTTTGAACCCCACAGTCCTCAGGACTGTGACACACCACTGGGGCTCAAAACCAATACAGCAAAGCCCTGTATGCCATACAGACATGCAGACATACAGACATGGAGAATGCAGACGTGCACACCTGCAGTTAAATTAGCTCCAGATGCAAATGCTAACAATTGTCAGTGCTGCCCACTTCCAATCCTACGATGACATCTCAGCAAGGGCTTATATAAAACCTCTCTAGCTCATCAACCCAGCCTTCATTAGGCAGGAACAAAGAAATGTCAGAAGTTATTTAATAGTATATTTTTAGCCCTGAAATGAGTGTTTGTGCTTTAGCTGAGGTGGGAGAGGAGAGTGGGAAGAGGAAGATTGAGAAGTGTTCATAGTTACTCATATGGCAGCCATGGAGAATATGTGTACGGCTATTCATTTGAAATGTTGTCTTTAATGATGGCATTCAGCTGCAGAAATCTCTAAATATCATTTAGAGAGAGAAAGAACTCCTCTGCCTGCCTGGAAGAATGAAAATTCAGGGCTTTGGTTCAAATTCCTTGTACCACTTCTCCAATCCTCAGCCTCACGCTGTAAAATCTTGTGATAAAGAAGCTATGTGGACTACAACAAACCCCATCATGGACACCTTTTCTCAGGAAGACCTACCACAAATATTAACCCTTGCAAATCCAGGCTGAAATTACTCCCAACCCTAAGCAACAACGCAACAATGGTGTTTATGGCCACAGCAATATCAGGACATGATGACCAAGCCTGTAAGATTTGTTGTTGATGGACTGAGGGAAAAAAAGCCCCTTGAAAGCAAAGCCAAAACGATTATTTGCAACTTGCAAAGACTTCATCCACATGGTCTTAACATGAGGACAAGTCACAGAGCATGTGAAGTGCTGAGAAAGGAGAACACCAAGGCCAAGTGCTTGGGTGCTGCCAGATAAGCTTAGTCTCTCTTATTGAAATTCTTGTGCATAAAACTGTTCCCAAACTTTTTAAAATTTTGTAAATTAGAAGCAACAACCACACCGACAGCAGTAAATTAGACACTCTCCATCAACTGTTTATGATATATATATTTGTTATATATATTTTTATGATATATATCTTCTATTCTATGCATAGAACATGCACATATCACTTCCAGTGTCCCACTGATGGGGTGCCTGAGACAGCTCTTATTCCAACAAGTTGATTTCCACTGCATGAAACAGTTGATGGTAGAAGAGAGGATGGTGCAAATTCCTTCTGAAATACCAGCCCAAGTATCAATATCTAGTTCCTAACTTTCATCTTCTTCATACCATCTGACTCTGTGGAGGTTCTTCCTTGCATTGTCACAATTTCCTACAGATGAAACACCAAGATATTACTTTCTTTTAATTAAAAAGACATTACTACTGTTTTAATGTTTTCAAAAACCTCTTCAAAAAATCAAAAACTAAAGAGAGAGAGAAAGAAATGAAATCTAGCATTTGTACCAGTTTCCAACAAGTGCTGCTAAGCTCTTGATCACTCACTTTCTGAGCAGTTCTTGTTTGCATGTCTTAATTTGCATGAACCATTGCTGTAGTAGAGCAGACGTGATGATGGAAAAAAACACTCTGCAGATGTCGTTTGAATTCAATTTCTGTATTGTCTTTCATTTCTTGCATCCTTAGCAGACATTACCCTAATTTTGTGCCCCAACTCTGTGGCCTTCAGAAAGTTTAGCCTTGAAAATGTGAAACAAACTAAACAGGGAGTTTACTCAGAACTTCACATAGCTAGGCAGAGTTGTTTGGCAAAATGCATCACTCACAGTAACACTAATTCCTTTCCTCACCCTACATTTGAAAAGATACAAATGAAGCAACAGACTTTAAAAAAAAGCCAATTACTTCTCACAAATTAACCCTATTTATTTATTACATACAAATCAGGACTTGTTTCAATTTTTTGACTCCTTCTTTTAAACTGACTTTTTTCTAGATTAAAAGCGTATTCATTCACTGGAGAAAAGAAAAATTAAAAAAGAAAGCTGTAAAGCATTAATTTTCTGAAGACCAAAGAAATTCACTTTAGAGCAGCAGAATCTTTAAAATGTAATTTCCAAAAAGATTAGTGTCTGCTTATCAGGACTAGAATAGTTGGATGGAAACAATTATAGTTAGCACTTGCAGGTTCTTTGCAGGCTTTTCAATGCACTGCCACAGAGGAGACAGAGTGAGCCTCTGATGGTCTCCTGTCAGGTAACTCCTGTTAGCAGTGATTCACAGTATATCTACATAAACTATCCTAATCCACAGCACTGACAGCTGGATGGCAGAAAGCCCGTGAGGAGGACGTGTGAAAGGGCAGCTCACCAAACACAGCAGGGGCTGTACACAGAACCACTGCACCAGAGGCCTCAGCAGCCTCTATTTACAGCTCACCTGGGCTGGCAGCAGCAGCTTCCCTGCTCCAGCACACCGGAGCAAACAGCCAAGGCAATCAGGGGACTGTAACAGAGGCTAGCATATAATATTTCACATTGTAGCTGGCACAGCTTGGTTTCCTACTTTATTGGCTCACTCAGAAGGGGAACACACCATTTTAGGCATCTCTGCAGGCTTGACACCGCTTCTCTTATACTGGTGTGAATCAGTATTGTCTCCTCTGTTCCCCCTGCAAGCGCATTGCACAAACACCACATGCCAGACGTTTCTCTCTGATCATAAATGTCTTCCACTTTCTGGTAAGATGTTTCTCTCTGATCAAAAATGTCTTTCACTTTCTGGTAAGGGACTCACAGAAACCATCACTAGCACTGAACAGCCTAGGATAAACTCACCATGCAGAGTTCAAAGCAGCTTTGGGCTGCTCTGCCTTGGTGAGCTGTCAGTGAAGACACAAAAGAGTTGAACCAGGATCTGGACACCAAGGTATGGCTGTGGCCGTAACTCACCAAAATTAATGAAACAGAGGCCTTCCTCTGACCTTACTTTTCCCTGGCCTTCTGCCTGGGGCTCACAACCCCTACTGGGATGCAAGAAAAAAACCCATTTGATTTTGCAAACCAAAGCCCAGGCACTGATCCCAGCAGACATCAGGGTGTTGCAGGGCTGCGGATGAAGCAACAGGAAACCTTTCCCTTTTGCCTGGTCCTGAGCTGCTCATTCCCCTAGCACATGCATTTTCACAGCATGTGTCTTCAGAACCCTGAATGACAGGGTGGCCTTGTCACAGCCCTTCTAGTACAAGGTCACCTGCCTGGTGCATGAGGGGAGGGCTGTGGATGTGGTCTCTCCAGACTTCAGTAAAGAGTTTGAGTCTCTCACAGCATCCCCCTAGAAAAACTGGCTGCTTATGTCTTGGACAGCTGGATTTTTTGATGGGAAAATACTGGCTGGATGGCCAGGCCCAGAGATTGTAGTCAATGCAGTTTAATCCACCTGGCAGCCAATCACTAGTGGTGCTCCCCCAGGTTCAGTTTTGGGGCCAGCCCCATTTAACATCTGCATTGAGGATCTGGGTGTGGGGATTGAGTGCACCTTCTGTAAATTTCCAGATGACACTAAATTGGCTGGGAATGTTGATCTCTTTGAGGGTAGGAAGGCTTTGCAGAGACCTGGACAGACTTGATCAATGGACTGAGCACAGCTGCAGGAGGTTCAATAAGGTGAAGTGCCAGGTCTGCAGTTTGGTCACAACAACCCCCTGCAGCACCACAGGCTGGGGGAAGAATGGCTTGAGGACTGTTCTGAAGAAGGGAACTTGGGAATGCTGGTTAACAGCTGGGTGAACATGAGCCAGCATGTGCCCAGGTGGCTAAGAAGGCATGTTTCAAGAATAGTTAGGCCAGCAAGAATAGGAAAGTGGCCATTGCCCTGTACTCAGCATTGGTGAGGCTGCACTGCCAGTTCTGAGCGCCTCACTTTACAAAAAATGTTGAGGTGCTGGAGCACGTCCAGCAAAGAGAAAAAAGGCTTGTGAAAGGACTAGAAAACATGTCTTATGAGGAACAGCTGGGAGAGCTGGGTTTGTTTGGTCTTGAGAAGGCTCAGGTGGGATCTCATCACTCTCTATAACCTGGAAGGAGATTGTAGTGTGCTGGGGGTAGTTTCTTCTACTGTATCTGCAGTGAGAGGACCAAAGGGAATGGCTCTAAACTGATACTATGGAGATTCAGGTTTGATATTAGAAACAAATATTTCCACTTTCAGGATGGTTGGGCACTGGAATGGGTTGCCCAAGGAAGAGGTAGAGTCACCATGCCTGGAGGTGTTTAAGAGGCCTGGGTGGCCCTGCGTGGTGGTTTAGTGGTTTAAGGATCACTGTGGTGGTGTCAGGTGGAGAGCTGGACTTGATGATCGTAAAGGACTCTTTCAATATTGATTCTTCTTTAATTCTATGATTCTATTAATGTCTGTGGGCATCCCTCATAGGGCTGGTAAACCCAGAACCTGTCTGCAACATGTTTTGTTTGCGGGGTTTTTTTCTGGATTAAAAATAGGCAATTATCATCAAATCATAGAATAGCTTGGGTTAGAAGGGACATTTAAGTGTCATCTACTCTAATCCCTCTACAATGAGCAGGAAAATTTTCAGGTCAATCAGGCTGCTTAGAGCCCCATCCAGCCTGACCTTGAATGTTTCCAGCGATGAGACATCCACACCTCTCTGGGAAACTTGTTCTGGTGTTTTACCACCCTCATTATAAAAAACTTCCTTTTATTAAATTTCAGTCAACTTTTCTTCAGTTTAAAACCACTACCCCTTGACCTAGTGCAGCAAGCCCTGCTAAAAAGTCTGTCCCTGTCTTACTCGTAGTACTGAAAGTACCAAAAATACCTTCTCAGACTTGGTTCTGTAAGCTCTGTAAAAGCTTTCTTTTCTGTAAAAGCTGCTTCCTTTTCTTTTTCTTCTGTTACTTTCTAAGAACATGCATGGGATTTAAGTTTCTCTCTCACAAAATTATTTTTCACTCTCTTTCATTGTTTGCTCTTTATTGAAAAGAGCTTTGAAAACCTAAGGTGGAAAATGTCAATTATTGAAATACTTGGAAAGCATTTACAGTATTTTTCAAAGCATAAAATACTCAGTTAGCAAGCAGAAAATGTAGAGACTTTCCTGTTACAATTCTTTGGGAGATTTAATGCTGGAAATTATAAGAATGCAAATGGTCTTTCCAGCAAAACTGTGTTTGTGACTAAGCAGTTTATTAGAAGTAATTTACTTGATTTGGGGATCAAAACACAGAGCTCACATTATGATATATAGTTGTGTCACTGGAGGCAAGGAATGGAGAACAGAGCTTATTCAGACAGATTTATTTTTCTAATAAGATTTGAAGAGTTTTTCCTTTCTTTTACATATAACAAAAGAGCAGCATTTCTTCTCAAGGTTTGATTTCAGAGAAGGATTTAAAATTGCATTAGAAATTTGTGTGGTCCTCAAAAGCATTGTAGAAGAAAGATCACTCTCTTTTCTACTTTATTTCTACATTACTGAGTTTATAGTTAATTGAATTGCTACTGCATTGAGTGATGTTTATGCAGACTGCCTGTTTTCTGCTTTCTGGGTGAAAATTGATCATGAAAAATAGCTGGCTCATAAAAAGTGTAGATATAGGCTACTGCACTGCAGAACCTTGTCTACATCTTCTGTCCCTTAGGGAACACCTTATCCCTCCCTGTGAGTGGAAATGTATTGCTCTGTAGGGCTGGAAAATTGATTCCTGGGTAAAATGGTGGAAATGAGCAGCAAAAAGGGGCACAGCCTGCATTCCCCAGCCCTGGCCCCTCTGCACACCTACAGCAATAAAACCTTGGTTACAAATATCCTGAGGGGAAGGAAGGGAAGTCAGCTTCCTGCTTGCTGCCCTGGAGAGACAAAAGCCTTTCCAGTGTCAGGCTGGTTCACACACAGCAGGATAATTTTTGGAACCGTTTTAGTGACTGACAGCAGTCTGGAGCTTCAATACCCTCACAGTACTATTCACAGCAATGAACACCTTGGAGGTGATTTGTTAAAGAAACACCAGAAACACTCTCTCTCCCATCCTGCTGGAAGTGGAAGGAGGACAGGGACAGGACAGGGATGTCAAGAAGGAAAAGTTCTGGTGTTTCTGCCAGTCCATTGGGGTCTGTGTGCCCAAGGAGGCACACAGACCTATATCCTCCTTGTACCTAGATCATAGGTCACCAGGTGCACCCCCAGCACCTTCCTTCTGCTCCATCCCTCCAGCAGGATCCCAGCTTTCCCCTCCTATTTCCCCAACTCTGCCAGCCCCCAGCACCAATACCCTATGGTCCCAATTCAATTCAACCCTGCTGAAATATGGGATATTTTACCTCCACAATGTGTACCATCTTCCACTGATGGTGTTCTGGGACCTGGATCCACACAAAAAGAGTGCAACACTACCCAAGAGTTAAGAGAACCCATGTATTCCCACCCCATACTGAGATCCCTCATTACCACAGCAGCCCAAGGCCCCATTTCCCCTTCCACCACTTACATCCCTCTTAGAAATTTTTCTTCCCTAGAGGCAAAGGTTCTTCCCAAGAACAGTGGGAAAGGAGACCCTAGAGGAGGGCCACCACTACTCAGCTGGGAGAGAACAGCGTTAAGCCTTACACGGCAATCCTGTGCTCAGGGTCACATGCAGAAGGGCTTCTCATAAGCTCTGTCAAGTGCCAGTGAAGAAAATACATTAATCCACCCACTAAACACCCTGGCAGTTCTGGCCCTGCTGCATGTTTGGACACTTCTGCTTGCCAGGGCAGCACTCTAATTTCTGCTTGTTGCCTCCAGAAACAACCTGCATTTTGAACAGTCTTCAGTGCTGAGAGCCAAAGCTGGAGGAGACAAGGATAAGGGCACCACAGAGGGGATGCATTCAGCTGCTGGGAGACAGCCATGAGCTCTCCACTGTGAAGTGGCTTTTACTGGCATCACCTATTTGCTCTGACACCTGATGCCCTACAGAGCATAAACATAAAAAGCATCAGAAAAATAGTCAGGAAAACAGACAGAAGACTGTTACTGGGTTTACATTTTCCAGGCCTGATTTGCAGTGAACAGCTGAATTTTACTGCCAAGGTAAGGCACATGAGATCCAGAGTGAGACCTGGTATTCTTGGCAAATGGAATTAACAGTGGCGATGATAGCACGTGGCTTGCACTGGAAGTGGGCAGACAGGGAAAGCATACTGAAAAAGTCATTTGTATTTTCTGAGGGCTCTGGTCCTCAGCTGCAAATTTCAACACTGAACCCATCACTGCTGAGACTTTTGATTAACAAAGAACACCCTCCTGAACAGATAATTTTACTCCTCATAAAAGAAGACTTATGATGATGAATCAGGTTTTATATGACGTAGTAGACAAGTGAAATATATCCCACTTAACCCGGGAAGACTCAATCCCCACCTACACTGGATTCTAGATGAACAAAACCCGTATGCTGCACTTCTTATAGACCCAATTCTGTTCAGTCACAATACACTTCTATCTGCAATAACTGCAAGTTCTGCCCAAAAAGTGGTACCTAAAATTGATATCCATTGTGGCAGCATCTTGGTTTCTGAAAGCAGACTGGAGAGATACAATTATCACAGTCTACCTCCATAATGTCACAGCTTTTAGAGCTGGTTACTCCTCTTCAAATCCAAAGGTCTGCAGACACAATCAAGGCAAACTCCTCTTCCACCCTTGGCATTTCCTGATCCTAAATGTGATGGAGGCTTTTCCAACCCCTGAATTTTTACTGTTCACTTTACTTCTGTTTCAACATAGCATTTATGGCAACCTCTGTTCTAAATCAGGCATTGGGAATATGGGGCATAGGAGGTATGGGTATATTCAGCTGCAAGGCAAAAATGATGAAGATTTCTTGATGCCTGTGGTAGCTCTGTGTTGTACTAAGTGTATCCTCCACCTCTTTTCTTTTTTCTTACAGAGATATATATTGAAATAATTAAAGGAAAGGAATATCTGAGCATTGTTTCTTTCTGCTACAGACCCAGAACTATAAGCAAATGCACCAGACTTTGTTGTTAGTCTTAGCTAGTAGCTAGCTGGTAGTCTGCATGTCCATAGTTAATGCAATACATGTTAAAATGCTCTCAGAGTATGCAAACACAGTATGAACAGAGATCAATAACTTCTGAATTTGCTCAAATGCCTAATTAGATTCTCCTTCCAAGCTCAAGTTCACTCTTCCTTACATCTTTTGATAACTGTAGAGGTTGGCAAGGTCGAAAGTTTCCAAAAGTGACTGTTCAGAGCTTTAGAAAAAAACTCCAACAATTAAAATCCATGACAGTTAAAATGGTCACTGTTCAACTGGAAAGATTCAAGCTCTTCATGTATCAATCACAGAAAAAATGAATAGGAATCCCTTTTCTATTCCCCACTACAAACCTTCATCCTTGGAGCCTGTGAGCCTGCTCAGTTGGGATAAGGATTTCAGGCTCCCAGGGCCCCATTCCCCTGCTATATGCTGCAGAAGACCCAGGATAAGGGATTTATCAGCTCTCTCTTGAACACGGCCCCAGCAAACCTAAAAGGGCTGATTTTGTCATCTTTTGTCACTTTTTTTTCAGTCTGAGGCACACAAAGGAGCAGGGGCCTGGGCACTTACTGACAGAGGGCAACTTCCCTACAGTCTCAGGAAACATGGCTTTTGCCATCTTCTCTGGGAAACACACAGTGGTTCATATTTACACACTGTAAGTTTGGTGTACATCCATTTAACCAAGCATGCCAACATTATGTATTCATTTGGCCCATGAGGTCTCCTCATTCATAAAAAAGTGAAAACAGACCCCTGGCTACCCAACTGCTCTAATTATTTAAAGACATTTCTGATGCTGGCAAGGGCTACAGCACACATAATTCAGCCTCCCTACCTTTCTCAAAAACTAGACAAACACATCAGTGTATTTTATATAAGCCTTACAGGACTCCGGTTATTTTATTTACTTCAGGCCCATTTCAATATAAGTGCTTTAAGCAGCTAAAGCCAAACAATATTAACCCCCTAGCTGCTTTGCCATCCCAATTATACTTTTAACTTCCCCACTCTGTTCTCTCTGATTTGTTTTTTTCAGGTATAAATGGTTTTTAAGACGAATTTGCCTTAAGTGTAATACTGCATAAGTTTTTATTTCACAGAGTTTGAAAAATGTGGAAAAACTGCAGAATTTGAGCTCCACTTGTTAGGAGTTAACTCTAACATGTGCAACCATGCTCTCTTTGAACAGAGCCAGCACTGCTAGGCTGTGCATGACATCTTGGGGTGCTGTAAGACTCTGCTCTCTGATTCCTGTGGTAGTATTTGGTTGAAAAGGCTCGAGGGTAAATTACTTGAGAGCAGAAAACTTTTTCCTTTCTGTTTAAGCACCTGGATGGGATTAGATGGGATATAGCTACATGTTGTCTTGCAGAAATCATTTAATTTGTCTGTTTTCTGTCCCTTGTATGCAGAGTCAGGACTGCCTTACTAAGCCCACAGTGACCAGCTGAGAAGATACATTCAGCACTTTCTGTGTAATGATCACAAGCTGGTTGGTCCGGTCTTGGGTCTTAAATATTTCCTACACACAACCTGGAGAGAAAATGATTTCATGGTTTTAGAAGAGTGGCCACGGCCTCATGCCAGACAAAGCACTGTGAGCCTCGAGTCCCACAAGTGGGAGAAAGATCTGGTATGTGAGAAACTCTTTACTTTCCAATGGGAAAAATTTCCCTAAATTCAGATTTCTCTAAAAATTGTGCAGGCATATCTCGTTTTATAACATACCTGAAGAGTCTTTTCTTTGCCTGTGCCTACAGCAGTAAAGCCAGAAATTCCTCCTGAATTTTGGGGACAAGAACAGAATGGATTGGTCTGCAGCAAACACCTGCTTTACTGGATCTATATGCCTGTCAACCCTTTTGCAGACCTCTTGGAAGCAATTTATGGTCTTTGAATTCACCATCCTCTGCTCTCACTTAGATTTTGACCTACTCTGTGAACTCAGTAAAACCTTTCTCTCTTCGTCTTTCAACAAAAGTTTGACCTGTTCATGTGAATCACTACAGAAAGGTCGGCTGTGATCAAAAGCTAATGGACCAAGTCAGTAATGAACTTGGACTGCATTTGGACATGTAAGTGCAAAAAGTGCAAAACTACAGCTTTCTCTGATGATTCCCACACAGTAGCCTCTTTTCAGATCAGGAGCCATACCAGTTGGTGATCAAACCCAAAACATGTGAGTTTATTTGCGTTTCAAAATAGAGGAGGCTTCCCCTGTTTCATTTACCTGTGAATGACTGCATGCAGAGAGAGGGAAGCATGAGGAATCACATATTTTTGTGTTAGCTGAAATATATGTCCACTGGTTATGTGGTTAAAAATGCTTTGTTAAAAATTGTTGAGTCAGGTTTTGATGAGGATTAGATTAAGTGCAGTGAGCTTCCCTTCAGTAAAGTCAGATTTTCAGCTGCTACCACCCAGCTGTTACCCAAAGCAATGTTTTTTAAACAAACACTGTGTGTACCTTGAAAATTCTGCATGACAGATGATCTCAAAATGCAGATTTATTTAAGGGTCTGTGCCTAAGGTCCATCAGCAATTGTCTAGTCTTCCACATTGCTGCTACCACTGTTTGAAAATACTAAATTTCCTTACTGAGTCTTGTCCAGATTATCTCTTCTATCATACATCTTACATATCTTACATACATCATATCTCTTTCTGCTGTTTTATCTTCCAGAGTGAAGGTAATATCTGAGTGTTCACTAAGTTTTCTTCAAAAAGTTAAGAACCTTCTCAACTCTCTTTGGTCTTATTGACTGCTTCAGGGGACAGATAAGAGGTCTGCATTCTTTTGCTTTCAGGCTTTGTTTCAATGGATCGTGATAAATCCTGCTTTAACTAACATGCAAATAAAAATACAATACAGTAATACTTAAAAACCACTACCACAAATAGTACTCAGAGTTAGCAGAAAACTCGTGTGGAGGCCTCAGACTAGAAGCAATGGGGAGACATGTGGGAGACATGAACACACGCAGATACGGTGCACTTGTCCATCCCCTAGACAACTGTGTTCCATACCTTTTGTCTTCAAATTAGTGGCTTCCTGACTGCACAGCCATCACTTTTGCAAACAAGTCTTTCCCTGTGGCAAATCCCAGCACCAAAGTAGAGCCATTCAATATGATATACCTCTTGTTTCTGCTCTTTGTGTTGCCAGCTCTTGGGTGGCTGGAAATTGCCTCTGTCAGGAAAGAGCACAGGCGACGGCGCTCGGAAATGTTGTGATAAAAAGAGACAGTCAGTGCCCTCCTCAGTGTTTTGTTTTGATACTCTTCAGTTCTCCATTGCAAATGATAATGAGAGGCTGAATACCCTGAATAATAACAAACCAGATAGTTTTCTTTTTCTGCCCACTCAGTATTTCTGCTCCACAGTTCCTGGGATGCTCATTTCCAGGATGCCAGGTTAGCTCTCAGGCAGCAATGCAGAAATGTGCCACCCAGCTGGCAGCATTTTTGACCCTGAGCCAAGAGTGGAGCCAGCAAGGCTGGGAGGGTAAGGTGGGTGCAGAGTGAACAGGGCTGCACCATTGCAGTGTTTCTGGAAGCAACAAAGCTGTGTTCTCACACCACTGCATTTGAGCAAATTCCTGCCAGGACCACGCTGGCTCTTTGCCCGTGGTACAACTTACCCACAAATAAGATAATTCATCCATGGAAAATGAAAAGTGGATCTATCAGCTGTTTCTTTTGTAAAACTGCCACCCTGCAACAACAACAATGAAGCATGACCTTGGTGTAGGCACTGTTGCTCTTGCTTTGACGCCTTGTCGACAATGTCCCACATGCCAACAGCTACAACCCTCAGCGAGCTGACGCGGGTACCAGAAGCTGAACCTTAGGAGGACTTTTTGCCTGTACCAGTTATCCCAATCATTTGCTGTGTCTGGTTTCTCAGCTCCATCACTCAACACCAGTCCAGCTACTTTGATGCTGTCCTGCTGCATGCTCTGCAGGTGCCTTTGCCACCCAACCATGGTTTGGTTTTCCAGAAGCTCAGCCTTCAGTCCTCTCACTTGCACTGGTTTGAGATCAAGATTCTTTGGTAACCCACCGACCTGAGACTGTAAAGCAATACAGCCAAATCAACATCTACATAGATTCCCGTGGATTTCTGAAAATAAGATGCTTGAATGGCAAGTAAGTGGCTAAAGACCAGTGAAGGCCTGTGCCCAAAGATTTTTGCGTATATCTATCAGCATCTGCAGGTAAGGAGTTGTCGTGGGGACTTCAGCCTTTCACCAGCACTGGGAAATGACACACAGCCTCTTAGCTACAGAACCCCAGTATTTAGATACTTGTCCCCTAGTACCTATAGAACTTGTAGTCTATACAAGTATATAGACTTGTATAGAATATAGAACCTCTGAACCTGTAGTCCTAAGGTCTTGGTCCTTTTGTTCCTCATTATCTGAATAATTAAACCTCACAAAACCTTATAAAAAGAGTGATGATATTCTGAAATTGTTAACCTGAATTAATAAGACTTGGGGGGGTGAGGGGTGGTGTTTCAGGTTTTTTCAGTAAATCTTCTAGGTAGGGCTATTAATAGATGTGCTGTCTGAAGAGGCTTTCTGCCAGTCCAAATGAATTATGGATCATTATATCTTAGTAACACAGTTGGAATTTGCTGATAAACTTTTGATACTGTACTGCTTTAATAAGATATGTTGATCTGTTGCACAGTTTCTGCCGGTACTGGAGTAGATATTTAAAAGTACCGGGTAATCACTTTCCCTTTGAACTAAATGCATTTAGGGGACTGTTAAATGAGGAATTATATGTCTTTCTCAAAAATGTGTGTTTTGAAGTCAATCTCCTGTATTTAGACTAGATTTTTTTTTTTCATCCATAATGATCTTAGAGGAAACGGTGTATGTTCACCCACGGATGTTATCTCTACACTTCTGAACACCTAGATGGAATTGCAAATTATGGTTTACATTCTAGTATCCTGGAATATGATACCAGCCCTTTCTGTGATAATCCTGTAAATGCTGTGATCTTGATTATCTCAATACATTTTTCTTCTTAAAGGTACCCAAGCATTTTAGGAGATCTGCATACAGATACTTAAAGAAATTAGTCCTTTTATATATCTCATTTGGCCAGGTCACACTTAACAGTTTGTTAGCCTTTGAGAGCATTTTATTAAATTCTCACATCCAACTCGGTCAGAAAGAGCTCTCATGCCATACTTCTACTTTGTGCCCAGAGTCGCAGAGTTATTCTGTCACTAATCCTCTGACTTCAGGGAAATTGCTGGGGGAATACACTGCTATTCACATAAGTAAAGGCACCACAATCTGTCTCTTCAAAAGATATTCTTTCTCTTTAAATCTGATCTGCATCTAACTAATCTGGAAGCTATAATCTTTAAGGCTGTGTGGTTTACTCTCATCTACTAGTTCTAGTCATTCCTTTACAGTGCTGAGCTGCACCGGGAGACTGGAAAAAAAAAAAATGAGCCACAACATCAGTTGAGTAAATCTTCACTTCCCAAAAGAGAAAAACTTGACAAATCTGACAGGCTAGAGCAAAAGGAGCATAGAAATCCCTACCAAAAATATGTGGGAGGGAACGTATATTTAAAACAGGACCGCCTAATTCGGCTGCTAAATCAGTGTAAGGAGCTCTGTACGTCTGTGTGTTCGGGAGGGAGAGGGAAAGACAGAGAGAGAGACACAGAGAGGGAGAGAGGAGCAGAGGGAGGGAGGGGGGGAGAGAGAGCAATGTGCCTTTCACAGAGCTCTGAGCTTGATGGGAATGTTTGATTAGCTCCTCTCTGAAAGAAAAAAGGTGTCCAGGCCTCCCTCTGCTGCCCGCCTCTCCTTCTCTAGAATAATGTTGGCTGGAGTTTGGGGTACAGAAAAGCTTGGAAAAAAACCCACTTTCATACTGTGTGGAGAAAAGGAATAAAAAGTTACACACCTCAAGCAAGGTAATTCTGATGTTGTTTTTCTGCTATATTTATTTAGGGGGAGAGGGGGAAGTTGTGTTTTTTGCCTGTTGATAATAGTTAAATATTTTCACTGTTGAGAAACTGTAGGGACATAACGTTTTATTTAGCATTCCAGCTATGTGCTTAGGATCAAAGACCTAAGAAGATGAAGATGTAAATGTAGAATGAAATTGTACTTTACTCATATATACTTCATAAAATATTTATGAAAGCATTAAGCCCCTACTGTTAAAGTGGACACATATACTGCCTGAACAGCAAGGCTTTACTGTGTGATAAAGAGTGGTGTATATGAGCCACACAGCAATAGACATTTATTCAAGCCTTCTGTTCAAATAGTTTGTGATAGACAATGTAACTTGTTCCTCAGTTGAAAACTGTTTTGCTTTGAACATTTTTTCACAAAGTCTTTTTGATCAATAGGAAGGTGTGTGTTGTATCATTAATAAACACCACCTGACACTGGGAAACACTAATCTCCAAGGCACAGAATGGAAAAAGGTATTATTCCAGTGATGTGTGTTTCTGTGGTGTGAACTCTCTTGGTAATGGATAGATGCAGATGTATGAACAGTACAGTAGCCCAGACTCTATACATCCTTTTGTGCTGAGTGCTTGTTTGGGTGGTGAGGCTCCAAAAATGAATAGCATTGTCAAGCCTGCCACAGCCACTCAGCTCTCTGCAGAGAGATTAGAGTCTTGATAAGTCTCTTCAAAATGCGAATTCTCTCCAACTAGTACAAACATGAACCAAATGCCCCAAGCTAAATATCAACTCTAGTTAATATTTTGTTCCTAGAGTTTATGGTAACTACACCACATTCAGAGCAAAAAGCAAAATTACACATTCCAGAGGCAAGTCCTCCTTAGAGCATACTTTTTTTTCTCTAACCTCTCCAAAATTTAAACAAAACATCAAAACAAGAAAACACACAGAAAATTTTGTTCAGATATCTTTTAAATTACATTTTACTGAGATGTGGCTGTATATGTTTGTAGTTTGTGTTTTTCTCTATAAATCCCAAAGTTAAAAACACTTTGCATTTATCTACAGTCAAAGAAAATCTATGCTTTTCTGTTTTACCATCTTCTTCAGACTTTGCTCAGTTCATCACTTGAATGACAGTCATGGGATGACAAAAAGGACTTTGTGTCTTTTAGTTATTCAGGACATTTTTTTAAGAAGAAACTTTGAATGTACTGCCAATACTGTGTTTCCACCTGTAATAGTAGTGTTATGTTGTTAACTTGGCCTTCTACCTTTACTTAAGGCAAGACACTTCTTTGCCTAGCGGTATAATTACAGCACTTATCACTGACTGGTTGAACCAAGCAGTTTTACTAGCTACACCAAGATTCCTCACACTTGGAATGCAAGAAAGATACTCCACGTGGGTTCTTTTTTGTCTAATAAGGGTGAGATCCTACAAAAGACTTTCCTTTAGAGGAGGTATTAACAAGGTGTTCCCTTTTCACCCAGTTACTGACTTTCACAGAAGTAGTAGGAAATTAATTTTTACACTCCTTTTTGTCAAAATTAATTAGACTATTTCTAAAAAGGGACTACCTGAGCCACAGTGTGAACACAAAAGCCAAAAAACAGGATAATTACTTCATGTGAAATGTCAGAATTATTTATTATTTCTGGCCATTGCTTCTTAGAAAACACTGCTAAGAGCAAACCTGAAGTTTATGTAACAATGACATCAAAAACATGACTGTATCCGGTCTGCTTGGAGAATTTTGAACTTTTTCCTTTTCCTCTCTCAACCACAAATAAAACTCTAGTCAGAAAATACTTCATGTGACATCTACAACTTCTTTGGACAAGCTGTGGCAGTGCCTCAGCACCCTCACAGTGAAGAATTTCTTTCTAATATCTAATTTAGAACCTCCTCTCCGTTTAAGTGTTGATAGGTAAGTCACTTAGGGCACCTGGATGAGATGAGAAAGAAAAGGTGATAGCTTAGCTTACTACCTGCAGTTATGACTGAAAAACAAAGGTGCTGTGGCACTTGCAGACACGAGCTGTGTGTGTGGTGGGACTGGCATGGGCAGGGGCCAGAGCACCGAGGTGTGTGTTGGCCCACTGCAGCTGGCTGGGCTGACATTGTCTTTTCTAGATGGGTAATGAAAAACAAAAGTCTGGAATTTCCTGGCAGCCTTGGAGGGATGTTCTGGCCCCCGAAAGCTCTGGGTACACACCAGGACTCCCAGCCTGCTGTAGCATCAGCTGAGGTTTAGGTTTCTTGTTCAGGGCTCAGGGAGTGGACACTGAACATATAACATAGCCTTCCTTCTAAAAACCTCTCCATCATACAGATCCCATTAATCTGTGTTGAAAAACAAACACAGAATTGCAAAACTGATGATTTGGGGTTTGATTTTTTTTTTTTTTTAATTAAAAGGAAAATAATAATCATAGGATGTATTGTACAAAAAGCCAGGGAGGATGCAGCTACAGTAGTCACGGGTCTGCCCTGCACATCTCTCTCTTGTGGAGTAGATTTTTAAGTCCAGAGTCGGTGAGAGAAATAGGTGCTTAACACCTACTTAGAGCACTTCAATTCCTCCTTTGAACTTGCCGGGGCACAAGGAGCCCCCTTGTCCCAGCACTGCCTGGGGAGCCTGTGCTAGAGCTCAGCTGGGACCTGGGACAATGCAGCCCCTGTTCTGGGCCCGGCTGTCGCACAGAGACTATAATTATCTCTCTTCTAATGACCAGCCAGGCAAGATAACAGTTTTCATGCTATGTTTAGAAAACAATGTCTTACTACAAATTGACGGTTCATTTGTCTGTAAAAGAACCTCTCCAACAGTCCTAAAGCAGCTGCCACTCTTTTGCATCCCAGTTCCTTTATTTGCTGCACGTTTCCCTCTTGGAAAATGGGTAAATGCTGCACAGGCAGCACAGCTTCTCGCTGCAGCACGAGAGGCTCAGAAAGGCACAGAAATGCCCAGAAAATCTGTAGCTGTTTAGATTGAATCTCTGTTAGTAAATTAAACGCTGTCTTTCTTGCCAGAGCCTGAATCCCCCTTGTGAACTCTCTAAGCCCCCAGCCCAAAGGGGCTGCAGGAGTAAAACAGCTTTGTGCTGACTCGTGATAATGCCCTGTGGATAGCAAGCTGATGCAAAGAGAGGGATGTGAAGGGACTTGTTCAGATAAAACGGGAGCATGTATTACTGATGAACTTTTCTTCCAGCACTGTGGCCCACAGACAAGTCAGGATCTACTGAAATCCTGTAGGCTCCAAAGGCATCTATGGGGTAGCTGTAGTGCCCAGCTGTGATTGCAGCCTGTGTGGGTAAAGCTGCCCCTTGCAAACAAATACCGGGAGGTGCCAGGTGTGGGCAGTCCCGGCAGCATGGCATTCATGGGCTAGCTACCCAAGTATTTACTCTGGGATCTGCAAACATTTGGTAACTAACTGTGTTCTGGGGCAGCTCTACGTTTAGTGGTGTCTGAGGGCTGCCACCACATCCTCTGCAGGTGCCCTGCCAGCAGAGAACAGAGCCCATTCCCTCTTTCTGCATCCAGCTCACCCTCATCTCTCTTGCCATCTTCTCTAGTCTCCTCTGCAGCAGGACATGGCTGGGTCGCCTCCTTGGGCTCAGTTTTTAGTGACTGAGGCCCTGGAAAAAAAAAAAAAACACAACAAAGTTTTGATCAGAAATTTCCCAGGGGCTTGGAAGCATCGATATTTCTCATTCAAATTTGCTTGAATTAAAAAATAATAATAAAAAATAACACCATCTGCAGCTTTTCCCTTCCCTTTTTAAGCAGAACACACAAATTTATATCTCATATTACAAACTGGAAACACATTTACATTTGGAAGAGTATTTTTAACCATCTCTTGTTCATTCAAATTATCTAGGTTTAAGCAGTTCTTAACATCATTGCTGTAAGTGGCTGACCTGACTTTCTAGCACCTATAAAGTCCATCCCATCTTTGCTTTATCTCCAGAACTTCAGAGTGCATTAAGAGGTCAGTGGCACATTAAGAACACAATCTGTGTCAGTTATCCTTAATGTGTCTCATTCTACAGAACATCCCATAGACATTCTAGAATGCAGAAATTACATTCAGCTTGCCTTTGCAAACTGTTACTCAGCCTATCACCTTATAAAATATCTTTGTAAATGTAACACAGCAGCCAACAGTCCTTCAGCTGGCAGCTTGTTTCATATGAAAAAAAGCACATAATTGCCCAAAACTTTTGGGAAAATTCTGAATGTTCTTATGTAGCTTCATGCAGTCCTTTAATGTCCCCACCAGGATGATCTGGGGATTTCCAACACGTTCAGGCTTCCACACAAAAACTGTGGAAATTTTTACCTCTCAAAATTACTCATTTGCTGGGAAGTTTGGACACGGCCATGTCTGTGCCTCTCCAGCTCCCTGCCAGGTTCCTTTAGGGACTCAGAAGGCTCCATTCTTTTTTGTTCCCCCCCAAATACATCATTTACCCATCAGCCCATAGAACAGGGGTGAGACAGAGGAAAGCTGGCAGCAGGGCTGTGTATTCTGGCTGTGGACAACTTCAGTGAGTCAGAGCTACAAAAGGGCAAGGATTCCCTGACTTCAGGGGTATTTTCACAGCTGCCAGCCAGCTGAGCATGATGGCAGCCCATCCTTCTCACCTCTTTTGCAATGCATCTTCAACACTTGAAAATTTTGCTCTTCTGGGTTTGGTTGAAGAAGGTTTAGGACATGAAGCACAGGAAGAAAGAAGCTGCTTGGAAATGAGGCTACATGGGAAGGAGTGTCCTTCCCATGATGATGAGTGGGGTGAGAGGTTAGAGAAGTTTAGAGTATTTCCCATGGAGCAACTTGGTACAAATGTTACAAGGGCAAATACTGGCATCACGTAAGTCAGAAAAGCCTACTTTAACCCTTTTTTGGAGAAAGTCTTTCCACCAAATTGCATCTCAAAATACATGGTAATTTGGGACAGTCTTCCATGGTCTACATCT